CACCACCACCCATCCCCCGCCGATTCCAGTATACAAATGTAAGGTAAATGTATTTCATCGCATTAATTTATGTATTGACATTATTAAGCTATTGAGTCGGCAAAACCCAACCGGGCGTTTCGTTTTTTTTTTTTTTTTGCACACTATACTCCGGAAAACGTAAACGCTTGTCGAAAAGAGAAAATAATGGCTACTTAACTATAGTTAGTTATGTACCGTTTTGAAAAAAAAAAAACACTTTTGAAAACGACCAAAAACGTTGAATGACGTGAACGCTCTTGAAACGTAACGTTTTATTGTAACAATATTATGACAAATATGACACGCCGCAGCATTATAATAATAATTAATAACGCGCTCTTCGGACACCGCTGTCGTTTAACAATGCAGGATTTGTGTATACGAGTACAATGATAATTTCGGACTGTTTTACGCGCACAAAACGATCATTGGACCGGTGAAATGTTTTGTGCATTACATTAGGAACGATTGTTAAATACTGTGTCCCAAAACGTTTTCATTTACCCCGCAGCTTTATCGCGCGACGGTCGAACGGCTACGAAAACCGAAAAAAAAAAAAAAAACATCACAGACAAATAATCATCATTAAAATAACACAATAGTACCGATCGTAATATCCGAATCAAAAATAACCATGGGATGATGGAACCATGGCTAGATGAAAAAATATTTTTTAACATTTTTTTTTTTTTCCAAGTCCAATTTTTCCCTTATTTTTTGATTGGTCATTTTTGATTTGGTCATTATAGCCTAGACTCCGTATTAACAGAGTTTGGCCTAACTTTTTCCATTTATAGAAAATCTTATGACCGAAATGCGGGTTTACTTCGCAAACTGCCAAACACAGCACCCCGATCAGACCAGCCCGTCGTAGCGATTAAATGGATATATATATATATATCGGTATACAACGCTAGGAGGAACATTTCTTCTAAGCTCCTCTGGCATACAACTCGGAACACACTGAAAACTTGAGGAACCCGAGAATCTGAAGTCACACCGGGAGGAGACAAGCGAACACACCGACCTTTCAAAGTCGCCGAAGACCGCCTAAAACCACACCGTAACAATCTCGCAGAGTCATCGCCGCTTGACAATCGAACATTTTTTTTTTTTTTTTTTTTTTTATAAATAAAAGAAGACTTGACTACTAAAAACGTACACATTGTTCACGTCATTTAGGAAGAGGTGCGAGATACAGCGCATTCATTGTTTCTAGGACCGATCGTGATGGTTAACTAAAGACCCAAAGGTCTGAACGACTTTAGCCAGGAGGCGTGTTTACGGTAGTCTGTAATAAAAAAAATAGCCAATTCGACACGTTAGGTTCAATTATAGATTTCCGATATGATTTTTTTTAAATTCAAACATAATTTAAATTGGTATACAAGATAGGCATATTACCTATTCGATCCGTTGAAATTCCGAGTGTCTCGCGACCTAACCATTTATTTTTGTGTGTCTGCACACAACTTTACTACCGGAAATTCTGCTCAAGTCAAAATCGTTATAGGATTTTTTTTTTTTTTTGCGTTTTTGATCCAGTCGTTGAGCTGAAACGACTCTTTTTTTCGATTTTCCTTTTAATTTTCTTAATGGATAGAAAAACCTGGACATTTTATTGGTTACCTTGGCAACAAGGGAAACCTATGACGACCATTAATAATATTCTGCTCGGAATCGTTTTTATTCAAGATATGTTTTACGGGCTGCATACGGACGTAGATAAAATCGTTCTATGTATATAT